CCGCAGCAGTCCGGAGCTCCCCCGAGCCAGCGCAGGGTAAGCGTCCATCGTTTCTGGCACCTGAACAGACAGGATGCCGGGATAGCAGAGCACTCCAGCTGCCTTTTGCAGCCCTCAGGCGCTGTATAAGCGCCCCTGAAAGGCCACCCTGAAACAGCACTCAGCAGCAGGAACCACTGTTCTGTCACCCCCTCCAGAGATCACAGGTGAAGGGCGCTCTCAACCCCCCACAAGAGACCAAGGATTTTTGGGTTACAAAGACCTTCTTGCATTAGAGCAGTCCAGAGACCAGGACTAACATTAGAGATACAGTTTTGCTCAAACCTGTAGATAACTGTGCAAACCGAAGTCACTTATTTATTATTACTTAAAAATAATTGTGTGATTTTGGTATTCAAAGTCAATTCACATCACTTTGCAGCAGAAATCTGCCAGTTCATGCGATGGCAGCTAAAGGTAGGTGCTAGACCTTCAACTTCAGACTGTCCTCAAAACTAATAGTCAGGAAAAAAAATCCCCACAATTAGAAACTCAGGTTCTGTTTTACAGAAAAATAAAAGAAATCTAAGTCCCTGCTTCAGTAAATGTTCTGAGCAGGGTAGAAAAAGTCCTCCTCAAGAACAAAGGAGAAAGTGAAGTATTTGTGATGGTGGAACAGCAGGCCAGGGGCCTTACAAACTGAACCCTGACTTGAGCCGACCGAAACCGTGAGAAAGCTGCCAGCTCTTTGTGAGAAGAGAGTCCTGCAGCAGTGGAAAACAACCTGCTCTCTCTGAGAAGAAACTCTAGGACTGTGAAAAACATTAGCCACCTGCATGAACTTTTTGCAACCCTTAGGTAGAAAAATGAAAACATATAACAACTTTTTCTGCATGTACACACCAGGGGATTGAGTGACCAGTCAGTACAGGGTAACAACTTGTTACTACCCAATCAGGGATAGACACAGGGTGTTCTTTAAAACTCTATATAAAGAGACATGGGAATAAACTGACCCCTTCTTTTGCTCCATAAAATGTGTATCCCTTGTCTTTCTTTAACAAGCTCAACAGCAACAGTATTCTTCTGAGTCCTTCCTTAATTTTGTCACTTGCAATTCTAAAATGTATATAGTCTTATAGAATACTCAATTTTTTCCCTTTCTTCATGCCCACACAACCTCTGAACTTCCCTACCTCATGTCTGTCTCCCTTTCTTGTTGCACTTACGCCTGTACATCTCCTGTCCTGAAAAGTGTTCCAAGTAGGAGGCATTCAGAGAAAACCAAGAAACATTTTTGTTTCAAAACAGTACCTTAACTTACAACTTTATTAACCTTTGTATAAATGATCAACATTGAAACTAGCTATTGAAGTTGGTAACTTTCCAGAACAGTTACAAAAATGTAGTTGTTCAAAACAAACAACCACCTCAGAACAGAAGCCTTATGATGAAATCTGCAGTTACTCGCAGGTATAAATTACTTTCTGTTGGGTATAGCAAATGATAATTAGATGCCAAAGAGAATTTTAAGGTCAGCCAGAGTGAGCTTAGTGAAGGTCTCTCCTTTGCCTGACAGAACCTGCTGGGCAAGACCTTTCTTCCTCTTCTGGAGTTGCAGGATCTTTTCTTCTACCGTTCCTTCACAGACAAACCTAAAAAAAAATTTAAAAAGGACAAAACAAATCCACACCATCTCAAGTGCTATGAAAAAATGTCAGTGTTATATAAACATGTCCCCAGTACATTTCAAAAGATTCATCTTACTTAGAAATTAATAATTAGCCAATTATATGACTGACAAAATACTTCTCCTCCTGTTTTGTCTCAAACTGAGACAACCTCTGAACAGAAAACAGCTATCCTCATATTCAACTACAATAGCATTTCAAATATAAGTCTGATGCACGTCAGGTCTCAACTTTGGTCATCTGAAATAACAGCAATCCTCTGACAAAATCCTGTAATTATTGCACGATAAATGATGGCACCTATTATACAAAAATAATACCCAAAAGAACATTTTAGATTCCAGTCTTTGAACGTACTGTGCATTTATAATAACTAATTTAATCGTTCAGTACTTAGTTACAGATGCTTTTTCTAAAAGTCAACTTTACCACTTATTAGAAATGCTTTATGTGTTTTTTAGAAGGGTTCAGGCTTAGAGATCACAGTGAAAAAATCTCCACTCAATTAAGAGAAATGGTTTGGCACCCATACTGTTCTCAGGAATAAACAGGACATTCCCAATAATCCACAGGCTAAAAGACAAGAAACCCCTGTTAGCTGTCAAGACAGCAACATGCATGCAAATGCCATACAGAACACATGAAAACATTTTTATTTCACTGCCCAAATCTCAAAGCCACTGTCAGACCTTGTGTCTAGATCTAAGTAGAAAAAGCAAGGTCTTGTCTCACTGACTAAAGCCAGACAATGCATAAGCAGCAGCTCCTCGTTCTGCTAAGTAAAATGCTGACCTGTGTATCACAACATCCTTCTTCTGCCCCACACGGTAAATGCGGTCACATGCCTGGTCCTCCAGAGCAGGATTCCTACAAGGTAATTAAAAAAAACAAAAAAAGTTGCCTCATTTTCCTGCCTCCAGGGAATCCTGTTTTCTTCCTCTGTAGAACTAAAACTGCTTCCAGGCTACCTTAGGTTTACCAGCTTGATGGCCAGCCTTCACCCTGTCAGCACTTCCCTTTGCCCTGGGTTTCACACAAAGCCAACTGCAGACCACTGGACTGAGACCACTGGTCCACGTAGCCCTAAGCCTGGCCAACAGTTGTAACTCTGAGAAAGCTGAGTAGGTGGTGAGGAAAGAGAGTGAAGCAAAAAGGCAAACCCCAGTGAAAAAGGCCATCACTCAGGAATATTTACGTAAGAGGTGGGTCCATCTGATAACCTTACAGGGAATACTTGTTGGTGTAACCTCCATATTGTAGAAGCATCTCCTTAATGATTGCTACACAGCAGTTGGTTTTGTATGAGGCACATTAGTTTGCTTTTTAAGTTCTCATGAGTAACATTTAGTTTTAAAAAGACTGTGATTTTTATGAGAAAACCTGACTTTGATGAGACAACACAAATATCAGGAGTTGCACACTCTTCTGTAAAACCCAGAGGTACTCTAGCTGTGCTCAGTTACTGACTACACTTAATACCATTGATTTTTTTCAAGCCAAACTGCCTGTAGGCATTACTGCACCACTTCTATTACTGCAAGAAATGAAGCCAGGGACTGCCAAGTCCCCAGCAGCATTTTGTGATACAGAGCTGCATACCTGGATTGCTGCTATATTCCTCTATTTTTTCTTGGCCCTAGAGAACTGTATTTCAGAGCAGTGAGCACTGGATTGAAAAATCAGTATCTTGGATGAGGGCCACAGTACAAACACTTTTCCCCAACTAACCACTAAACCCAACTATAAGCTAAACACCTCCCTCCTAACCCAGCTGCATCAAACATTACATTCAGTGACAAAGCAAGCAGCATGCACATACATATCCTCTCCAAGATGCCATTTGTATTTCTCTTTACCAGTGCATGTCAAGGAGAAAGAGATGGTTTCCTCCAGTCAAGTTCAGGCCAACGCCTCCAGCCAGCAACGAGACCAACATTACCTTCAAAGGCCAAAAGAGCATTAAGGAACCTGTTTGCAGTCACAGAGTCAGACATCACAGCTGCTCATAGCAGGGCTAGGGACTGCTTCCCTGCCCTGAATGCATACCTGAGGCCCTTTGGGATTGTTATTGAACTCTTCCACCACATCCATCCTCTGTTTGGGATTGACAGAGCCATCCACTACGGCATACTTCAGCCCCAGGCGCTGCAGGTGCACAGCTACAACTTTGAGCATGCTCGTCCACTGAGAGACAACCACGCTGGAGAGAGAACAGGGAGTTCACAACCAGCACTCCGTACTGGAACAGTTCGGTCATTGCAGTGTCTCACCCAAGGGGGCCACAAATATTCAGGCACCCTTCCCCACTGCAAACTGGAGCCAAGCCCCTTCCCAATTCAGAAATAGAGGTGTAGTGGTAGAACATGCTGTGGAAGACTAATACCCAATAAACTTCATATAAATTAAGTCTATAACTTTCACCTCTATTTTTGGATTTGACATTTTCACCTCCCAACCACAAACCTGAGTCACAACACAGCTTTTTCTGAAAAATCACAAAAATTAATACCAACATCAAATTTAGATTCACTATAGCCTCTCACTCCCCAGTTTCTTGGGCTAAGCAGTTTGTGAGGCAGTAATTTGTTTAATAGTTTCTTGAAAGGGAACAAAAGCAATGTTGGTGCTTGCATTCTTATGATGGGAATGCTTTTTGGAAAAGACTGGAAAAAAGCTTTCTTTTTATAGGTACTCTGATCAATGCATTCCTTTGTCTCTAACAGGTTCAGTTTTAACCTCTGCTTTAGTCCTCCACTTCTTTTGGGTTGTGGGGTGGGCAAATACTTCTCATCACAACTAAATTATTCCCAATCCTGTTTCTGGAGAATAGTCTTCCTGGGCCTCAAGGCCTGAGACTTCTCACACATTCCCTTATGTTTCCACTTATCTGTATCTTGAACTCCCCTCTTTTGACTTAGACTTTTTTTTCTTCAAGACTTGTGTTCAACTACTGCAGCAGTGTCACCATTTTATCATACCATGAGTTTTGTATTCAATTATTTTAAGCTATTTCTGCTGTTGTCAAGAAACAGTGCGCTTCTCTCAATCACTATGACTAAAGAAAATGACATGGTTGCTAACCTTTTATGAGGCTCTGTGTGGCTCTGAATAGTTTTCAATTCAGCCAAGAGTTGAGCTATCTGTAGGAAAAAAAATCCAAAACATTAGTCTACTTGCTCTCATAATCCAGCTCATGCTTGGATATTCTTTATTAAAAGTAGAAAGTAATCCAAATAGCTTTTCAACTGAAATTTCTTCTGTGCTTAGAGTTTGAAGAGATTTTAATAGTCATTGGTAAGAACACTCCCCCCACAGAAAACAGGGCCAGGAAATCAAATCATACAAGCCTGTCTTACAGATTCCAACCTTCCTGTGGGAAGTTATTGCAACCTCTCCTCTTGCTGCCAACCCTTTTTTCTAGCTCATCACAAGCACCAGGATCTCGCATGCAAGCTCTTCTGACCTTCTGGGAATCCAGTGCTTAAGATTTTCACCTACAGTTTTTCAGCAGTCACATTCTCACAGTTTTAATAAAAGTACCCCTAATGTGTGAGAAGTTGGAGCCTTCTCAGAAGGGGGTCAGCAGGCTATCAGCCTACTCATCTAATTTCATCTCAGTTGGCAACTTAGCCTGATCTGCAATTACCATCTAAGAGGCAAAGTGCTGAAATTCAAGCTTCTCAAGGAAGGTAAGAATGCCACAATCAGAATACCTTGGTGCTCTCTCTGGTGATGTCAAAGATATCTGTTTGAAAAGCTGTGCCATTGAGGTAGACTGTTGACTTGGAATCAGGAGTCTGGAGCTCAGACAGTGTCAAAGCACCAAGCTGTTCCTCAATGGAGAGTACAAGCCCTTCACTGTTCAAGTTAACTTGATCCAGAGCCTGTGGGAAGAACGCAAAATATTAAGGATCACAGTCAAGCCTGAGATCGAATTCAGTATTGATCCAGACAACACAGTATCTGCTGAGGACACTGGGTTTTGAAGGATGCTATGCAATATGAAGACAGAAAAACTAAAAAACCCTACTGGATCAAACAGTTTCTTTGGACCTTTATTCTGCCCCAAAAGGGACAGTGTATGGAAAGCATGTGAGCCACTTCCTGTGGTCCAGTCTCCTCGGACTCCCCCCAGCCTCAGCATTTAACAACTGCAGGATTACACATTTAGCACATAAATTCCTGCCTGTTCCCCTAATAGCTAAACTTTGTCTACAGCTGCTATATATGTATATATATATATATAGTTCAGAGCCAAGAACTCCTGAAAGATTAGTCTGCTTCATACAAGGCAACCTCAAAGCACTGACAGAGCTCTCCAACACAAAAGCCCTTGAAACAGGTTACACTTGTGGACTTTTCAAGACTAGGTTAAGATTAACATTTCTTTACCATTAAAATTCTAGTTCCCTTTTTGTCTGAATAAAGACACAGCTGCCCATATAAGTCATGCTGGGGAACGCTTCAGTAGAAGGTAAGCCCATCTAAAACATCTTAGGTTTCAAAACACAGAGTCCTAAAATTGACTCTGTTCATACTCTCACAGCTAAGAGAAACAAAGGTGTTACCAAGTCTGTTAACTTGCATAAACACTTTAAAAAAAAAAAAAAAAAAAAAAAAAAAAAACAAAAAAAAAAACAAAAACAAAAAAAACCACAAAACCCCCCACACCACTACAATGCAATTACCACTTTCAGTAAGGAGAGATGGCAGCAGCACTGACGGAGTCTCAAGAGCATGGACAAGACATGGACAGTACTTGAGACCTGGGAGGCACTTTGTGAGCCTGCTAGAAATTCCTTTTGACTGACTCCAAACTCTTGTGCAACTGCCAAGGAAGGAAGACAACGTCAAGAGCTATTGGAGGCATTTCTGAGCACTGCCCATTCACCTCCAGGAAGAGGCTCACAAAGAGGAGTCAAGAATTAACAGGCAAGCAAATACCTGATTTAACATAGGAACCCATCAATGCTCAATTTAAGTAAAAAAAGGGAAAAAAAAGACAAGAACACAAGTCAGGGTATTACATACCATACACTCATGCTGACATATGTTATCTGAGCAACCAGACCTTTAGTTCAAAGGAAAAATTAGGCACAGAATGGTTAAGAGATTTTCCGAGAGCCACAACAATGAGAACACACTTAGAATACTAAGATATAAGTCTTTGTAACATGAGGGGAGCATTTTCTGAAGAATTTCTAAGTCCTGACCCCAGGTCTGTTCCCCTTTCTGAGCTGTGCACTTAAGAGCCACTTCTGAAAATATTTTCAGGGAAGGTCATGCTCAAACCTTTCTCAAAGGGGTTACCACCATCATACTCTCTGTCTTCATTTTTCTGCTCTTGTCTCTTTAGGTACGACTGTAGTGTTGACCTGTAAAAAAAAGACAAAGACACTGGGATTCACAGCATGAAAAAAGGCAAGAGGGACCTGAGCTTAGCAAGTTGATGATGCATTAAGGTAAGGAAGGTTTCATTAATCATTCAGTCACAAAAATGATCACCAAAAAAAACCCCAGTCTTGTTTAACCTGAGTATGATCAAAACTACAGATGCATTTTGGAAATCACAAGAGAAAGCAAGTCTGCTTTTTGAGTATGAGAACATTTTTAAATGTATATTTAAAAGGAAGGAAAAGTCTTTACAGTGAGACTGCTGAAAGAGCCTAGGAAAACACAAAGTTATGCTGGCTTGCATTATAGCTATCTGGAGAGGCCAGCATAATTTCTAACTGTACAAGAATCACAGAGCAAATATGATAATTCTCTCATTTACAGGTGCTCACACATCATCATTTAAGAACTACTTGTTGCAATTCCAAGTCTTTGGAGTCTTGCAATCAGTGAGATTAAGTGTAAGGCGAGAATACAAAGCTCATATGAAACATGAATATATGGGAGAAAAAAAATTAAACCGTTTTGCCTGCTACCTGAACAAGCAGTGTATTTTCAAACACACCAGACAGATAAATCAGAAGGGAAAAAATTAAGAGGAATTTATCCAAAAGCTCTCCTCATCTGAAGTGAATTTCTCCTCTGATTTCCATATCAATAAGAAACAAACCCACAAAATATCATATCTCTATCCACATTCATACCTGGATCTTGCAAAGAGCACATTGTACACAGATTGCTCCTCTGCTTTAAGTTTTAACTGATGCAATTGTGTCCTACGCTGGGGCAGAGATACCTGAAGTGAAAATTCACATGATCAGATGTATGTAGTGCAAAAGCCTTACAGAGCATCACAAACAGCAGCAATCCAAGATTTAACACAACACTCTAAGTCTCAGAAGATAGCTGTTTGTTCACTAAAGCCATATGTATTAACACAGTTATGACAAAACAGACACTCACAGAACTCCAAGGAGCCTGGTTAACACTCACAATAAAATCTTTATTCTAGCAATAACAAGTTCATACTATGTATGAATTGCTCAACAACTACCACAAAGGGATTAATTTTTGTGTTGTTAAAGTACCTTATTTCCCCATTCAAAATCAGACACTACACCAAAATGATACCTTTTAAAGGTTTAAGACACACCTATGACTAATATTCCATTCAACAGACTGTTTGTAAAAAGCAACGCAGAAAGCCAATGCTCCAGCACACACCAGGTCCATTTGACATGTGGCAGCTTGGGGCCTCAGATCCAGGCTAGTCCAGTGATCTGGACTAACCTTCCACTGAGTGGCCATCTATATGCAATTATTTGGCATATTTTTGTCTGCATGTGACTTATAACTGAAAGGTTTCATTATTTTCTTTAATTCTGCTTTCTGGGTAAGCAACCAAATCTTCCCACAGACATTTGCTTCTCTTGCTCAAGAGGTTTCAGCAGACAGGGAACCCCACCCATTAACAAATTTATGCAAGTAAATAACTAACTGTCTGCTGCAAGGAAAACAATGGAATGATGGTGTAGTTTTGGAGGGTAAAGTTCTTACCAGGGGCTTGCCAGCTGAATCCAGCTGGTCCTTAGTTCTCTGCAGTAAGAGGCTCCTGGTTAAGAGGCTTAGCCTCTCCCCTCCCTTCCTTGTGTTGTTATCTACCTGGTACTTCCAAACTTTGTATTCGTCAAAAGGAGAGCAACGTAGAAACCTGTGACAGGAAGGAAAGAGACTTCATACCAAGGGAAGAAGAGTTCTTCACTTTGGAGTGACCAGAACCAAATTTCTTGCTATTCCTTGCTACTAAAACAAGCCATTTCCAAATGCCATAACTGCATGACCAAGGAGCAGTAAAACATTTCCAGTGTAATAGTGATGATAACTTTTTTGCTTAGATGTCCTACCATCACTTATATTGTAAGTACATGTTTCTGATTCTGTACCCATCACTTCCTCTTATGTTTCAAGCATCACCAGCAAACAAAGGACATCTAGATGCAGAGGCACTTTCCAAATAGCATATTCATCTGTTATTTCAAAATAGCAAACTTCTTACTTGACAGTTAATTTCAATTATCCAAAATTAATTTCAAATGCAAGTTCTCTCTGGTTCTCCAGCACCATTTGTAACCTTTTCCCCCTCAGCAATGAGGACCACCTGTTTATCACTGTGCAGAGAATCCAAAGTTTTCACCCCTTCCTTCAATGCCCTTGTAGCACAATACTCCAAGAAGGTCCTCCCAGGATGCTCTAGTAACAACAGGGATTAACTTATAGAACCTCTGCTCATTAAAATTGGTTTTGTGCTTACTCATCTTGAAGACAAAGGAGATCCAAGGTAATTTCCCCTTTATTCTCCGTGGAGGCAGAAAAGCTACATGCAACAGCAGACACATGGTCAGCCTTGTGCAATGCCTCAACCACAGCCTTTGCAATCCAGTGCTTATCATTAATATAACTAATCCTACTACTTCACCTATCTTAGAGACATCTCAAACTCAGAAACAACTTCAGCACTTCATCAGAGAAGAATTACTAAGACTGGATCCCTGTCCATCTGGTCATGTGCAGCCAGCTCACCTCAGGAGCGAGTACATGTCCAGCAAGTTGTTCTGTATCGGCGTCCCAGTGACAGCCCATCTGGCACTGGCTCTCAGTTTGCACACAGCTATAGAGGTTTGAACCCGTGGGTTTTTAATATTGTGAGCTTCATCCAATATAATTCGAGCCCAAGCTACCCTGAGCAAAGGGGAACAGGGAAATGATCCACTCTGAAAGAAAAGCAGATTATAACTGAAGCAAAACCTAGGTTCTCTAAGGAGGCACAAGCAAACACATTTCTCCAGCACTAAGTATTTTCGTGATGTTAGTCAGCAGCAGTTTGTGCTCTTACTGTCACGTAAGAAATGGTCTCCAAAAATCATCTCTTCAAAGCTTCCATGTTTAAAGTTTATAAGCCAAAAACTAACTTATTTGCCTGATCTCAATAATAATTTCTAGTATTTTGTTAGTTTTCTTGCTTTTAACATTTTATCTTATAATATTGTTGTTTCAAGAGGTGTTTCATATCAGTAAAGTTTTGCTATGCTGAGATGAAGGACCATATATCATTATTCTGATCTCTCAAAATTTTACAGATGCCACCTAGAAATTTCAGAAAATTTCAAGTCCTGTTTTCTTCAAGAGTTATATCTAGAGCTGGGCAGAGAGGTCGGAGACAGCAAGGGACTTCCTCTACACTGTGTAGTCATTTCAGTCAGCACTCAGCAATCACATCATTCTTTCCATAGCCCAGCCAGCACACTGCTGTTTCTTCAAGGCAGCATGGAAGCTGCCTCAGTCTCAGTTCAGACTGACCAAGATCCTGAGGTTTCTGGTAGTTTGGGGTGGCATTAATGCTTCAAGCAACAAAGAACATCAAACAGGAGATTCTACTACTCCTTCACCTCAAAAGAAGAATGAGATTCACCATTGCATTCTTAAAATTACTTCTTAAGACATTTCAACTGTCTGTATTCAATATAGCATAATTCTACAGAACATATATGTTGCGAATATATTCACAGCGCTTCCTCTCATCACTTTGCTTTTACAAAAATAATCAACAGGTAGTTATGAAAAAAAATCAGGTTGCTGCTCACTGTAGCACATATAAGGTGCTACTTGAAACAACAATGGTTTGTAACACCTCAGAACAAAACTTTAAGGCAATTCCCTATTGACATTATGGCTTCTCACCCCCACATCGTAGTCCTGAGCAGGGACTTCTCCCTCCTCTTTGGTTGTGGGAACCTCCTTGGAGAGAAGGCTGTAGGTTGTGACAACAACATCATATCCAGAAAGCCTGAATTAAAAGAAAGTAGTGATCAGGAGCAAGAATCAATAAGGATTTTTTTTGCAAGAGAGACTAAATGCATGCTAAAGAATGCATTTAAGAACAACACAGTGCTACAGGAAGTGAAACCCTGAGTTTTACAGAAATCTGAGCTTCATTGCAGTTAAACAGGAAAAATGCATCATCCCCATTTTAAGGATACTGGAAGTAGACACATCAAGCTCAAGAGGACAGTAAAAGCCCATGGACCTGAAGGCACACCACATGGCATGAGCCCTACTTAGAGCCTGGCACCCAGTAATACTGCTCAGCATGGCCTGAAGAGGTCTAGAAAATACGCTGAATTATGCATACTGCTGATAAAAAATACAGCTACCAAGCACAAGCATGGAAGAAACTGCCATTGACAATCTTCTTGCTGGCAAGCAAGAGATATTTTGAAGAATATACACCTTTTTTTTTGCTATCAGAAGCAACAGCAGCCTCCACCAGAACCACTGAGCATGGGCACAGGGCATAAGCATTTTAGTAAATACACCTTGACAGCACAAATCAGCCTGACTTTCTGGACCTCCCACATTTCAATACTTCATGTTCTCCCATCATTCTACATCCACTTCCATTTCAACTTTGATAAACACAGTCTCTTGCTACATAGTAGTTTGCTTTTCTTGGTCATATTTATGGTTTAGCACTTACACCTCTGCATGCTTTTCTCTATTTGCCCCATGGTACAGACAGACCCTCAGTTTGCCAAAGGCTACATGTCTCTCAATCTCTTTCTTCCAGTGGTGGATCAAGGATGCAGGACAAATTACTAAAGTGCCATGGGAAGGGATAACAGTGAAGTCTAAAAGAAAATATTGCAAACAGGTTTCAATGTCTTCACATTAGACTAGGACAAAGACAGAATTGTTGGAAATTCACAACTGAGAAGAGCGTCCAACCAATTTCATGAGTATACAGACAATACAGACTGTGGACACAGGACACAGCAGCAATACTCTTTAAAAAAGGATTAACATCCCCAGTGTCTGTGGACAAGATAAAAGTAATCTTTGGGGGAGAGCTGGAAAGAAAAAAGATCAGTTACAGAGAGGTGAGTAGTAACTATTTGAAGTCCCTATGAAAACTATGCATAAAAAACTGCGAAATCTTTTGCAAACCCAGCATATCACTCTCTACAACTTCCTGAAAGGTAGTTGTAGTCAGGTGGGGGGTGGTCTCTTTCTCCAAGCAGTAACTGACATAACAAGAGGTCACAGTCTCAAGCTGCATCAAGGGAAATATAGGTTAGATATTAGGAAAAAGTTTTTCACACAGAGAGTGATAAAGTACTGGAATGGTCTGCCTGGGCAGGAGGTGGAGTAACCATCTCTGGATGTGTTTAAAAAAAGACTGGATGTGGCACTCAGTGCCATGGTTTAGCTGAGGTGTCAGGGAACGGGTTGGACTCTATGATCTTGAAGGTCTCTTCCAACCTTGTGATTCTGTGATATGCTGGCTTTCACTATTTCAGGAAAACAGTAAAAAAAACCAAAATCTCCAAACAATATAAAGTAATGAGTTGGAAAATCCTACACATCCAATGGGAGACAAAAATGACCCTGATCAGAGAAAGGCCATGCAAGGAGGCACAGTACAATTTAGCTAAATGAAAGTTTCCTGGGGGAAAAAAGTGAGCAGAGATACGGTGTGTTGTTCTACAACCCCTTAACCTGTATGCTTTAGGCATTTCAGATGGCACTTCATCATAATGTACATGCTCTGTAGGATGGAAAAAAAATCTGTACCATTTTTGGATAGCCATATTTCTAATGCCTCCTTTCTTTTCTCTGTCTTCAGATGCTTCTGGGCCAGAATGAGAGCAATCATCGTTAGAGTCTTCCCCAAGCCCATGTCATCCGCTGCAAAAAGACGCAAGCAAGTTACCACCTGCAGAAATGAGACCCCTTGGATCTACACTGAGTGAAATACTACAACAGAAAGTATCCATAGATGAAAATGTCAGGGTATGATTTAGTAATTGGTTAATACCTGTACTTGGTAATAGGGCACAGAAAACAAGCCCTTTTGACACGTGTACCAGTTATTGGCCTCCAAGTAAGTTACATGCAAAACTTTGCCGCCATAGATCTGCCCCACAAAATCCACTTTGCCATTCTGTTGCTCACCCAGAATTCCTCCACATGGCCTCTGACTCTCTCTCCAGAGGAGCCATGCAAGCGCCTGTCTCTGGTGCTGCAGCAGTGAGACCTGAGGGGGTGAGTGAGACAGAGGATTTGAAGGAAACACCTGGCAAAATTTAGACACTTCTGCTTCCTTTACCAATTGTTATGTTCCAACTGTTTTACTACACTCTTGCTAGAAGGAGTTTACCTACCTGATCTTCCACATGGGCTGGGATACCCAAGGTAAGCAACTTCTGCAGACAGGAGGTAAGCAGTACCATAGATGAGTCTTCCTAATGTCTCCTGCACTAACCAGCCTAATGCCTCAGAGTGCTCTCAGAGAGCAGATAACAATGGCTTGTTCAGCTGGAAAATCCACCCCAAACTGCCTTGCCTACAACAGCTACCACTGTCAAGGAAAGGGATTGAGAACACTTCCCCTTTTCTCACCGAGTCTAAGACCCCTATAGATTCTTAAAACAGGAAGAGGGACTACATACTACCAACACAGGACATTCAGTGGCCTTGCCCACCACTGAAAAGGTCCCAAGACAACATGACAAGTGACACAACATATATGCACCTACACACCACCCTGTAGAGGCATGTGCCTTTGTTCCAATACCTTGCGTATAACCCCAAACAGATCAGAACTACTCTGGAATCCATCACATTCCATTAACACAATCACCTGCAAACCTTTTTTGAAAGAGTATTTCTTATAGCTCACCAGGAAGAATGAAAAATTAGGTTCTCAGCCTGTTCCTCACAGCTCTGTTCTGCCAGTCACGTACAAACAACATGGATGGAATGCAATTAGAGTATCTCCTTCCAGCAGGATGCAAAGTATGTCAAAGTGGGAAGGAAGGAATGCTCTAGAGTACCACTCAGAGGTTGTGATTCATTCATCAGCATGACAGCTTCCATCCTTGCCAACCCACCTTCAGCCCAGAGGGATCTTCAGCTGCTGTCTCCTCTGTTGGACAGGATTCTAGAGATTTGTGAAGATGATTAATAGCCTCAAATGTGGCACTGTGTACAGCCCTGATTCGGTCTTCTGTCATTCTTCCCCCATACAGATTCTGCACACCAACACTCACTGCAAAGACACAGTACCAGAGATGTGTTCACAAAGCTAACTTTCCCTAACAGATCTTTCATCCCAGAGATTGACTTCGGTGTCTACAGATGCCTGAGGGACAGTATGCAGCAACAAAACAGGCTTAGTACTCTCACATGTATTTACAAGTCACAGGATTATTTCAGAAATAGTACTCAACAGGGTTCTCTGTAATAGCAAAGTCTTTCTATACTTACTTCCAAAACTTTGGCCACTGGAATCCAAAGTAGCAGCAGCTGAGGGGTGACTCTGTGAGCCTGCAGAGGCCTTTGCTGTAGGATCCTGAAGCAGGGGAGGTGTTATCAACTTTGTACCACCTGGCCTGTCAACTGGGTTAGATAAAGACTCTTCGCAGCAGCTACTGCTTGTGCTATCCTGCCCTTAAGGAGAAAGGAATCACAGGGTGAAAAGGTTGCACAGTGAATCTCAGAGCCTTGCTCTACAGCCCAGAGAAGAGCCTTCATTTTGCCCAACAATCTATTGCAAAATACTATGAAGTGGTGACACTAGTTTAATAGCGGATTACCACATCACCTGAGCCACTGCAACCACCAACGTGTGCTCTTGGCCGGCTGCAGTGACAGGCAATGTGTCCAGCTGCAGTGACAGGCAATGTGTCCAGCTGCAGCCTCATTATGTGGTTTACAGCAACACAGTGAATTCTGCAGCTGTGATCAGAGTAGTGCAGACAAGGTTAGTTTTGCACCCTGTTCCCAGATGATTCATTAATATTGAAGGCATCTCTCTTGTCAATATTTTGGACACAAAAACTATTGAAACATCCCAGAACAAATGGGCCAAGAGAGCTTTTCTCTCTCAAGAATGGCTGGAAGCTGCTCATTTTGAATCTGGTAACTGGAATTCAGTGACAATAACATGCATGAACAGCACAGTTCCATAATGCAACAGAGGGAGTGAACACTTCATTGTCATGTTCTCATAGAGATTTGAGTTGTTCCATTCATCTGCTCCCAGACATGTACTTTGCAATTAACAATTTTCATCTTCAGTAAATCCCAACAGACAAACATTTTATAGACCACAGGCCATATATAAGTATGTGCTATGCTTCCTCCATATTAACAACTATTTTAAGAAAAACTGTTTTGTAAACTTCTGGAGCAAAAAAAAAAAAAAACCCAAAAAATTAGCCCTACCTTGTTCACTAGTATCTGCTGTTGAAATGTTAAGAGCACTGAGTGCAGCTTCCAAATCCTGCACTTGCTTTAACAAGCGCTCCCCTTTATCTGGCAGCATCTGAACGTTCACTGTAGCCAATGTACTCTGCAAAAAAGAAAGAAACCAAAACTTGAGTGTGGTCACCAAGCTCTCTGCCAACACAGCACAATCAGGTCAGAAGTCTAAAAAGAACTAATGCTATCCCATTTTAATTGGCATTTTGATACTGTTCTGTAGTCTCCAAAAGCTTTCAAGTGCCATTCAGTGCAATTAAACAGTCTTTTAGTAGAAAATAAACTAACCATTAGTGTTCTTTAGAAAACTAACCATTAGTGTTTCATTAGAGAATATGGAAGGACACAGGGACTCCTCCTTTTTATGAAACATGCAGTCAGGTGAGTCAGACAATCTTAACATCTCTCAAAACATCTACATTTAACCTACCTGCACCTTTCTTTCTATGCTTGCACAAACAACAGTTCTGACTTTATTTCAACATTCTGTTCTGAACTCCAGACAAACAGAGGAGTTCATAATGAAAACTGTAAAACATAGTGACTGGCAATTATTGAAGGAAAAAAAAAAAAAAAGCAAAACAGGCAGGTAGTCTATTTCACCCCAGTGTAAGCTTTCATAGCTAGACCACTCCTACTGCACAAGGCCAAGAGAGGCTACCAGAAACAGCCATGTTATTTACAAAGGTTAAATTCGTTGTGCACTATTCTATTTTATGCAAATTATTTTCAGGGTAAAAGACAAGACAATCTCAGGTGGGTCAAAACTGAGCACCCCCAAAGGCAGAAGATTGTACTTTCTTAGAAGTAATTGGTTTGTATCTGCTTATCACAACCAGTCTGTACAAAGGCTGAATTCCCTTCCATGCCACATCTTCCTAAACCCCATTTTGAGTTTCTGCTGTGAGGAGACATATTCTGATGTCTGTCACAAGTAACAGAAGTCATCTTGAAAACAGAACAATAAACCCCCCAAATAATAGGTGCAATAAATGACCTTTTTCTGTTTCAGCTGGAGTAGAAGATGGTTATGAAGCACTTTAGGGTCCTGGGGTCCTTCCATGTGATGTGATGCTGCTGCTCCTGGCAAAGCTGTCCCCTGCACACACTTTCCTGATTTTCCTGAAGGAATCTCCACTGATTTCTCAGGTTTATTTTCACCCGATGAGGAACGAATAAATTGTTCTTCATCACTGTCACTGCCAGAGGCTTCACCAGGAGGCTGTGGCAGCCCTGGCCTGAGCTGTGCCTTGGGCAGCTCTGCCTCTGCCCCTCCCCTCAGGGCAGCACACTGAGATGCCGACTGCACTCCTGCTGGGGAAGGGGCATCTTCCTTAGGCACCAGTGTCATTTCACCGTTCTTCTGACCAGTGCAATCTTTCTCTCTTGTTTCTCCATCCCTACAACTTCCTAAGTTTTTTTTCCCAAGCGTCTCCTCTCCTGGAGGCTTGGTACTTGTACTTTGCTTTCCAAGACTTAGTGGGAAGAGTTTTGATCTTGTGCCTGACTCCTTGTCCACACAGTCAGAAGGCTTCTTGGATTCCTTGCCACTGCCACCATATTTCTCTTCCTCTGAAAGTATATTTTTCCCCTTCCTGGTCTCAGAATGGCAAAGTTTAGATTCAGACACTGTAGTCTCCTGAAGTTCTGTGTCACTTTTACTTCCTGTGGATGATTTCTTTTTATTTTTGAGCTCTTTCAGAGGTACTGTCTCTAAGGAGGAATCAGAGGTCGATTTCTTTTCTTTATGTGACACCAGCACACTCTCATTCTCTGCTTTACCTCCTGTTGCTTTAACTTCCTCTCCATTTCTTTGCTTCATTTTTTCCCAGGATGATGGTGCACGATTCTCATTTAGCACTTTGAATGGATTTCTTTGGCTAGTGAGATTGAAGAAAGGTACTGTTCTGAGCTGGGATTGCAAGGGTTTTGACACTTTGGTAGCTTTTGGATCCTGCAATATGTACATGGCAGTAAATGCAAATGTATAAATTGTTAAAGCCTGTTAATAACACACACAACCTTATCACCTCAAGCAAGACTTCATCCACTACCAAGATCATCTTTCCTATCATTTTAACAGAACCAGGACAACATTTCATAAGAAATCCAAAACAAAAGCTGATTTTCTACTTTTTTTGCCATTCCCATTTTTTTTTTGGGATCAAGTCCCAAAAGCACAATCTCTAGAAAAGAAGACAGCCAGGAATCAAATCCAAGCTTCTTCTAAGACCGAAGAATAGTGAGTACTTCACACAACTGAGAGAAATCTCATCTAGAGGACAGCAGGCCTCATACACTTCTTGGCTGGAAAATATAAAATCTCCCACTAAGTAGTTTCAGAGGTGATTATGGCATATGGAATGAAAAGCCATGCTGGAGTAAGGCAATACTGCAGTACAAATGAAACACTCTTACCTGCCATGGGAAGCTTCCACACCATTTCTTCCCATTCAACTTACTCTTAAGGCACCGGTAAAACAACCTACCAAGGATTAAAACAAGATTTCAATCCCAGGAGCCAATAAAGAAGCTCTATTATTTTAAAAGTACTTTGCACCAGAAACCATCAAAGGAATCTGTACTTTACATTCAGACCTTTGCATAACAAAAGGCCATGAACACTGGCAACAGAGCTTTTTACAGGAGTAGTGTTCTCTGAATAAAGATTCCTAGGGTTTGGGGTTTTTCTAAACTTTAGCAATAGAAGAGTAACTGCTCAGGCAAAAACACCATCTATGTTTAGAGCCTTAGAAGCATCTTGTGATTTCAAGGTGCAAGGAAACAGCTCTTCTTTTAGTTACACTGCACAGGCTACCTCATCTTTATAGCAACACTTTTTTAAACTAGCAGCCAACCAGGATTGCTGCAAGTACTTTATCAGAACTAACATTGGGGAATTTGACCCTGAGTTTGGATGAACCCAACCACAGAGCCATGTTCAATTCTGTCAAAAAAAACCCCATTATCTGATGACCCAGGTTTATACTATTAGATGTAACTGCTAATAAAAGTGGCAAACATTTGGAAACAGGGTAAGTGAAGGCCTCAGAGCTCAACGATTCTCTTCAATTTTAGAAGGAAACTGCAAGTTCTCTCTCATTCTCCAATACCATTTGTTTCAACATGTGCAATAAACCCCTGCTTTCATTTCGAATGATTTGTAGTTCAACTCTCTCACTTGTTCATATATAATAGAGAGCTAAGAGCCTCCTGATCCTAAAAATCTTTATTTTTAAGAGGAAGCAGCCTACAAAGTAAGTCCTCAGAGATGCCATAAAAATGAGATGCTCTAAATAAGGGCTCTCCTTTCCCCACAGAACACAGGTACAGCTTAGGTGGATGTTAAATCCTTATTAGAGAAAAACTACTTAATCACAGGATTCAAGTTTTTCTGAAGTAAAACTGTAAAAACAAAACGACCGTTAGTCAGAATCAGTTTGAGAACATTATTTTAAGCACTGAACATAGGATAAAGAAGGAAAAAGCAACACAGGTTTAACCCGTTTGAAGGCAGATATTCGGTTTTTTAAAAACTTGAGGAACTTACCGGTATTCATCTCTGTCCGGCTGCTGAACCAGGACTTGCAGTTCCACCACGCACCCCTCATGGACCAAGCAGTGCGAAGCAGGAACCCTGAAGGGAAGAAAGGAGAAGCGGAAGAACACAGACAAGACGAACTGCCACCGCAAAGCAATCACTTGCGACAAAACAAAGGCTACGTAAGAAAACGAGTTTGCGACTGCTGGCACAGCAGTGAACTTCCCTCAGGACAGCCAAGTGTGTCCCATCGTCCCCCTGCTGCCGCCCCCGCCCTGCACCTACGGCGCTGGGAGGACGAATCCGCAGGCAGCGGGGCCCTGCGCCCCGCACACGTAGAAGCTCTTCCCTTTGTTGGGGCCATCGCGGACGCCCGTTTTCAGGAAGCAGAGGGACCCTGCGGAACGGAGAAGAGCGGAACTGGTCAGGCCGAGCCCCCCACGGAGCGCCCCTCGCGGAGAGCCCGGAGCGCCCCTCACCGTGCTCGGAGCACAGCACAGCCTCCATGGCCGCGCAGCGCGGCCGCGCCCGCCCTTTGAACCGCCCAATCCCGCCGGGCCGGCGCTCCCGCCAATCACCGCGGGGCAGGGGCGGGGCAGCCAATCGCCGCTGCGCTGCGCTCCCCTCGCGCACAGCCCTCGCGCCCCCGAGGGCGGGAACAGGCGGGAGGGGAGAGACTAAGGGGGCGTGGTCACACGGGCAATGGGCGTGGCCCTGCGGGGCCCCGCCCCGGTGGCACAGCCGGCGCGGCCGCGCTCCTAAAGCCGGCCCGGTGAGGAGGGAGCCGTGCTCCACACGGGACACCTTCCCGTCCTGGAAACCGCTCCAGCTGCCGCGCCTGACAGGATCACCCTGCCAGCTGGACACATGTTTAAAAGTAAAATATTTAAAGATGAATGCAAGTTGAAATAATAGTACAAACACCATAGACCATCAGGAACTGGAAATAAGTTGTTTTTCTTTTCTGTATTTAAGGTGGGAAATACAGTTTTACAAAACGTGTGCATTTCTCAATTACTGCTTTTGTTAATGACAACTCAAGTGAGAGAACGACTCTGGTAACAGTTATGGGAGGGTTATAATGTGTGTACAAAAATATGAACAACATTTACACTTAATAACAGATTAGTGACATTAACATAGGCAGCCGAATTCAGCCATGGTGTAAACTCTTGCAGCCCCCCAGACCTGCTTGAAGGCTGCATTTGTCTCAGTACCTGTGTGAAAAATGTGCTTTTTACGCAATACTACTGGTTTTGTGCTTCCACACATGCCTTGGAATCTTTTCTCCTAAACACAGCGTTTTGGGCCAGCACCTACTCCTCCACAATGCATTCATACTCCTGTGCGCCCTTCTGACATTCAGCAGCGGCTCTGCCCAACTTGTTTCAAGCAGGAGTACAGAATAAAAGGGAAGCACACAAAATACTTCCAGGCAAGTGCACAGCTTAAGGAGTGTTGAGTACTACAAGAGACTGTGATGGGAATGGTGATAGCAATAATGACCTCGCTGCAGAGTGCTTCCCGGCAAATACTGGGATTTTTGGTTCTTTTTTTCCTAATGAATACCCACAGGTGCAATCTCTCTAACATATTAGAAGTAAAAAATGCAGCAGTTAGAACCTCCCTATTATTAATTGATTTATTCCTGTATTATGCTAAGAGCCATCTTTCTGGAGCTTAAGTGTTCTTGCTCTAACAGCCTGTTCTTAAACCAGCAAACCATGTACTGAATTTTAGGCATGCAGTTATATTTTACATGGGAAGGCAATGGGATTCAGGCTTGTTCAGAAAGTCAAGTTGCTTTGTCCAGAGATGGATATAAGCTTGTGCTGAAATACACCTCTGAGTAAGGAACAAAGACAAATAGGATGTCTAAATACAGTACTGGACCAAGGCTCTGCCACACAACACTTTGCTTCTGTGCCTCTGAGTAAGTCATACAAAGACAAAACTTAATGAGTGTACACTCCATTTTTACCCAGATGGAAACATCCTGCTCCTGATTTCCAAACAATCTGCAGCAAAACCTCATACAAAGCACTTCTGGGGAAAGGTAGAGGCACAGAGGAGCAGACACAGAGTAAACAAATGCAAACCCTTGGTCCTTAAGTCCGTTTGCCACTGACACCCACCCCCAAGGAATTATCCTGCTCACTTATGTCTCCTCTCTGACATACAGAGTAAGGCAGGGCTTTAACCCCACAAAGTAAGGAAGGGGGTAGTCCACGAAGGCATGGAAAGGTTCTTCAAGCTGGATATACTCAAATGATCCACCTCATCCCTCTTTTCCTTACAAAACTTGCCACCTTTGTAGCTTGTTTCACTGCCTGCCAGCAGCTTGGCTGTGCTGAGTTCCCCTTCTTTGGCAAGCAGGGCTGATCAACCCTCTCACAAAGGCCTAACAAGGTAATGTCTGTACAGTGCTTAAGAACATGCAAAGTGCAATATAAGTGCCAAATGTTCTTATTTTTGAGATTAATGAATTAATACTCCAAGCAATAGAAGCACTGAGGTAACTACAGCTTAAATACTACATTCCCTCATAATTAATAAAAAAAACAAAAACAGCTAACTCTCTTCTCTCTAGAAGATGAATCCTGAATATGAAGTGATAATATTTATATTCTGTCAGGTTTAACACAGACACAGTGTCCTTTTAATAACAGCAAAACATGAGCTGAAACCAAGAATTCTGCACTAATGATTTCCTCAAATCCCACCTCTGTGCCGTTCCCAGCACATGTTTACTCCCATTCATTACAGAGGAGTTGTTTACTCCCATTCATTACAGAGGAGCTGGTGTCCCATGCCACTGAAGAAAAACACACTCCAATGTCAGATCTGGCATTCTGATGGCTGAACAGACAGAAATATCCCCCAGCAAAGGTAAATAGCACCATAATCTGCATGAGCTCTCGGAAAAGTTCAGGTTTTGTCCTTAGCAAAGTCCATGTTGCTCAGCTGGGAGTAAGGGTTTATGTCTTATCCAATGCACAAGCTCCTATCAGAGCACTCCAGCTATCAAGTACCAGCTGATTTTCCTGGTGGTCAGAAGACGATGGATGTAACAATGAACACTGCACATACCTTTTCTGTTTTGTTCCTGTATCAGCTTTGGCCAATGGACCCAAGATTCAACTGACTAATGAGGTGGTCAACGAAACCAAGCCCTGCATTCCTATGTGCTGTGTGATAATGATGTGGCAGAAGAGTCAACTGCGCCCCAACCAGTAAACAAACACTGCTGTAAAATGCTAATGCAAGTACCAGAACCCAACTGTTTCCATGTGAAAAAAACATTGGAAACATCCTGAGAAGGTGTCCTGGTTCTGGTGAAACACTACCAGCTGCAGTAGGCCCTGCTTAGTGGTTTCATTCTGTTTTCCCACTCCAGTGCTTGTGTCAAATGTTCCCTTCATCGATGCTCTGCAACTTCAGTCTTTGGCTGGCATGGGGTCTGGCACCACGCCGGGTGTACCCACTGCTTCCTGCCAGAGTCCATGAGGGGAACAGGGCTCCTGGTAAAGCATCTTCCCCAAACAGGCTGAGTTTCACATCAGCTTCTATAGCTCGGGCCAGACTGGCTGCATAACTGTCCAGAGATTTATGAACTTCAGCTTTTACATGAAGAACAGTATTCTTTGCAGCCTCTGGAAAAAAAAAAAAAAATAGGTAACAGTTGGTAAGCATGGCTGTGCAAATGCTTGAAAACTAATATAGATCCTGTTGTAAAGGCATGATCATTCCCTCTGCAAAATAACTACACATTTATCAACAATACTCAAGCTTCCCACACCATTCTATGAATGAAAAGCTTCCAGAGCTTCAGAGCTGGGATGATCTGTGTCACTGCAGCCATTTTTGTAGCATCTGTACACCTCTCTACCCACCAACATGTTGACCAATACAAGAGTTCATCCTAAATGTAACTCTTCAGTGAGGCTGCTGAAATACTTTAAAGCCTCACTGAAAAGCCTGAGACTCACCAGGGAGAATTGCTAAACCTGTAGGGAATTGTGCGCTGAGACTTTCCTCTTTCACTCTCACAAGAAATTAGATGTCTGCTCCTATGTAATCACTCAAAAAGATAGTGGGAAATGTATGCTAATGTGTTTGTACAAGGGAATATAAATCTCATGCTGGGAAGAGGGCAAAAGGGAATTTTGCCAAGATGTTTAAAAATTCTATAGAAATAGTTTTCCATTATTTCAGATTTTATTATTACTTGATTCTTAAAGGCATTATGCTCATTTTCATCATGTCCATAATCACATATTGTTTAGAAAATTCAGTTGTTATTATCAAGTCTTCTATTGGAATTATTGTAACTATCAGCAAAAATTAATGTTCCGACATTTTATAGATGATCACTGCAATATTCTGCTAGCCCAGAAGCAACAAGTTGACTGAAAAAATTGCATGTGGTTCATCTGTTTTCACCTATACCTGCTGAAGAACACACCTAGTAAAGCAAAGTAGAATTTAAGTAAGAAAAATTAAATTAAACAGAATAAAATTATATTCAGATCATTGAAGTCTGTAAATGGAAGAATTTCAAGTCTGTAACAGGCAAAACTTGTAACAGCCACTACGATGAGTGGAATTGCAGAGAGGATACTGCTGTGCAATTTAATTTATGTATGTGCAGGGAATCCCAGCTTCTAACTCTTATCCTTGCCTGCTGCTACTTGAGATCTGGAAGAAAGGCCCGATTTTGCTTTCTGTTGTACCTGCATGAATGATCAGGTTTGTCAAGGCACACAGTGGTCAGATACTTTTCAAGACAATTGTCAAGGTCCTGTGAGGTTTCCTGAGCATTCAGTGTAGTTGACTCTGAGCATTTTCATACTTACCCCTACACTCACCTTTAATTTGTTCCACTTCATCTTCAAATGTCACTGAACTCCTCCTTCGAGGGGGACAGATGCAGGGTGGGGCATGAGGGCTATCTGAGCCATAATCTTCAAGAAGCATTGTATCTGTTCCTGAAAAGAGCAAGAACCCCAAGTAAAACAGTAACACTGAGATACAACATGGTGACAAAATATTTTCAGCCTATTTTCAGCAGTTCCTTCAAAAGATGTCTAAACCCAGCTTTTGTGAGTAAATTTCAGCTCAAATTAAACACTGCACAGGAAAAGAATGAGGTCAGTTTTCATTGAAAGGATTGGGAAATCTTCTCGTTAGAGACTGGGCATTGCAGGTCCCAGGATCATGGACTACATGCAGCAAGCAACACACAAGAGGGACTAAGGCTTCCTTCTGCTCTTTAGTAACTCACAGTAAAAGCATACAGAGTGAAACAGTATTTCACAGTGGATCACTGTCTATCTATTCCCAGGCTATTTGCAGCGTTCCCTCCTTAGAGAGAGTGCAGTGGCACTTCTAACAGCACTTTGGTATTGCTTTAGTTTTGTTCAATTGTTTAAACTGCTGTCGCAAGATGGTAACACCCCACCCTCTTAACTGAGGCAGGTTTACCAGGAGGCTGCTCTCCTTTATCACATACAACTGCAGAATATCCACAACAGACAGAAAACTACCAGCACAAAACAACTACCAAAAATAAATTCCAGCTCCACAGACTTCCTTTACAAAAGTAGGAAACAAACCCCTTACAACAAGCAACCCTTAAAAGATCACCCTCTGGTGTCTCTAGAGCAGAAATACTCTCTAAAATAATTACTGCAGTTAAGGACTGGTAGCTGAGTCAACTGCCAGAAAAATCTAGCCACAGATCTGGATAGAAAATTACCATCAGAACTATTTTTCCCTTTTCCAAACCATCTTCAATAGAGAGATCTTAAGTAGTAATGAAACCATAAGCTGAAACCATCCTAAGTGTTTATGTTTACACTGCAGGATGAACAAGACAAGGTCTTTTACAAAATAGGAAAAAGAGAAGCACATTGTTCACAGCAGTTTGTTGCTCCGTTCTTTGTGGATACAGAGAAAGTCTCCAAAGAACAACAGAAACTGAAGGAGAAGGGCACAAAAGTAGTAAGTCTTGTTCCCAGGACACATTACCAGGTAGTGTCACCATTCCGTAAGCTGCATTTTGCAAGTAAATTTATCGAGGGCAAGGGAGGAAAAAAGCAACTGCAGCAGTTTTGTTGGAACAGCTACAACAGATGCTTCATGTCATTTGTCCACCAGGAGATATCTGTGGCTGTAAATATTGACTGTCCACGAGACTGCTGCCAAGTGCAAACTTCTGCCCAATTAGGGACCAAGAAACTTGCAGTTACCTGAATCCTGTGAGCAGCTGAAACCTGTGTCTCCTGTGCTGCTGCTGTTTCCCAGTGGCCTCCCACCTGCCATGAGGGCAGTAAGGTGAGGAGATAGACCCAAATCTGCAAGAAAATTTTGATTTTGTTACACAGTGAATGATTAAGGAGTTTGCAAAGGTAAAAACCTCTTCCAGTAATACCCACTCTACTGCCTTATTTATTATTCTGCATATACAACTTACCTTGGTGAAGCAGAGAGCACAGCTTCTGGACTTCCCATCTTATAAATCCAGTCAGCAGCTCTCAGGTTTGGAAAGGCAAGTCTCCTTTCTCTCTACACCATCTCCCTCCCACTCTTGCTGCAACTGTGTGTGTGTTTTATCAGCCAGACAGGATGAGCACCAAGCATATGTTCTCACATGGATGGAAGATTGGCCAGGCATCTTCTAGACCGAGAATAACCTGGTAGGCACCAGCAGCTGTGACAGGCTATTAGTGTGGGAAGAAGTTCAGAAGCAAGGCTAGGACACAGAGATGCCCAAGTCCTTTTAAATCTCCAAAACAAGAAGGGAGGAGATTGTGTGATTTTTACAAATATGCTGCTTTGGATCCCACTGCTGCGGTGCGTTTTGGGGTGAGGGCACCCCGGGCTGTCCCACCTTGAGATTTTGTTGGGAGTGTTTTTGTCCTCCCCATCAGCCTCCAACTAAAACATCTGATAAAAAGCTGACAGCTTCAAGTTTATCGCTTGGAAAAAGAAAGAAATTTCCTGTATTTTCCCTCCAATGTATTAATTCATAGCATTTCCTGGATACAGACTTGCCAAAGCTCCTGGAGGTTATGTGGCTACAACTCCATAACTCTTTCATTTACATAACAGTGTCTCCCAGTGTTCCCAGGATGCAGAAAAGATAATGGATGCCTTGCTGCTCTCATCTTCCTTCTGCATTTTAGATCATCCTTCCCAAGTAAATAACTTCAGTTCCTGCTTTTGCATGAAATATCCCTTGAAGATGTTCTATTTTTGAAAGTTTCTGAACACGACCAAGGAAATTATTAAAAATGTGAATGTCATTGCATTGCTACTTTAAAAAAAAAAAAACCAAGCCACCAAACTGAGCAACTGGAGGTCTCAGTCTGCAACTTGGGAACACATCAAATAATTCTATGGTTTTACACAGATTTACTTTGTTTATGATCTTTTCTTCCCAGCCATTAAGCCTAAAAGCTGAACTTGCAGAAAGTTACACCAGTGGATTTTAGAGAGTTGTAGCATAAGGCCATTAATCAAAGAAAAAGTGCAGTAAAAAGTACTGTTGGTAGAGCTCAAATCTGGGCAATGCAAAATGGAAGGCATGCAAAACAAAATGCTTGAGAACGAAGAAAATAAATTATCTTTATTAACCTCATCACTATGTCTTCTCTGCCTGAGAAAGCTTTACTATAAGTAGGAGAATGATGTTAACTATAAAAAAAGAGAAAAATTCTCCTTTCAAATGTAACCTGATTGATAAAAGACTGCTAAAAATTCCGGAAACATCCAACTCTCTTTACAAAGCCCTGAAACATGTCAAACACAGGCAGACAGGAAGCCTTGCTCTTGGTGATATTAAGAAAGTGTTTTTTGCAGCCACATCTTACCTGTGATCCTGTTGGAAATGCTGAAGAGCCTTGATGTCCTGTGCCGCTGAACAAAGGACTTGCGGTAATACCGATCCCCAAAGCACATTCCCAGGAGTTCCTTGCGCACTGTTTTGTTCCACAGCCCATAAATTAGTGGATGGCAAATGGCACTGGAAAAGGACAGCCATGTAGCCAACGTCTCCAAAGCAGGGGAAATACTGTTTTTACCCCAAAGTGCCTCTGATGTTATTACTACCATGTAAGGTCCCCACGTAATGACGAAAGCCCCAATGACAACCAAGATGGTTATGAAAGCTTTGCACTGGTTGGCTGAGTAAACAACCCCTTGGAAAGCATTCCTTCGGCTGCCAGAGGAAGACGTGGAGGTGCTGGAGTTCTTCCTCCCGTTCCTCTGTGAGTCCTCCTCCACAATGACAACACTCCCACAGTGAATTTTGCGGGCCTTAATCCTTGCCACACGGAATATGAATCCATAGCAGATCATCATGACCACGAACGGCAGCAGCGCGCACCAGATCTGCCAAAAGGCCGTGTAGGCAGCCTCCTTGTGCCAGGCTGCCACACACATCCACTTGAATTGGTCAAACTCCAAGGAGGACCAGCCGAAAAGGGGAGGGAGGCAGCCAATAAGGGAATGCAGCCACACGTACACAAGAGCTACCACTGCTCTGTTGCCCGTTATCTTCATTGGATAAACCATAGGGTACAGCACAGCGTAGTACCTGCGGGGCAAGAAAAGAATAGTCCACAGGAGCATAAAAGGCATAAATAAACAAAAGAACATGTTTTAATGATGCTGATATCTAGTTATTTTTTCTTCAAACAGACTCAGAAGCCCTGTTTCTAGAAACAGTTACATGTAAAAGTAGGTATCACTGCAGTCAAGACTGTCAAACTTGGCTAAAGGCACACATGCAACCATTAAATCTGTTCTTATGTGTGTGTAAGGTGTGAGCTTAGGGTATAATCTGGAATTTTAAGTCACTATTTCATGTTTATCAAATAGTATGTTGTTATACCATCAAAAGCTTTAAAAAACTCTGGATGAATGTCTGCATTTTCCATTATTGATGACATCACTTTCTCTTGCTCCACATCAAAATTTCAAGAGGAGCTGAAGTAAAAATGATACTCCATCAGTACACCATGTAACCCTCTGCAGTGCTTCTCAACTCTATGAACAAGCAGTGGTTACCCTATGAGAGGAGCAGACAATTTGTTACAATTCATTATTACCAAAGAGCAGCTTACCGGTCTATAGCTATGAGTCCCAAAGTGAGCATGCTGGCTGAGCTGATCAGCATGTAGAGCAGGGCTGAGAAATTGCACCAAACAACCCCAAAGATCCATTCTCGCCTGATGGAGCTGGTCACAACAAAAGGCAGCACCAGCACGGAGAGTAGAAAGTTGGAGAGGGTCAGGCTGAACACAAATTTGTTGCTTAAGGTGAGAAGGTACGACTTGCGATACAGAGTAACAACAATCACCAGGTTGCCCAAACAGATGAAGATGGCAATGACAATTATCGCAATGGACTCGGTGACTCTGACTGCCCCATCTTCCTCTGTGGTCAGGTTCCTCAGGCCCTTCCCATTGCTGAGGGAGGAATTGCTGCTCATGGTCAGAGTGTGCAGATCTGGAGCAGCCAAGACATGCTGAGCAGCTAGAAGCAGAACAATGTTCAGAAACATTCAGGTAATAGTTCTTCAAACTCTTTCCAAAGACTGGAGGCCCTTTTGCCTTTGTTAAAATTTACCTGTAGTATGCAAGAAATTGCGTATTTTAGATGGGCAAGTGAAGGGGCAGTAAATTTCCTGTGGGCACACCAAAGAGGATAACACCAAGCCTAGAACAGGGAAGACAAGAAGAGGTGAAGGGGGGGGGAAATAAGAAAGAAAATAGGCACATTTTACTTTAAAATTTTCTACAGATCTTGCTTGTTTTTAAATCCTACTTACCAGCCCCTTCAACTAGGCAGTGAAGAAACAAGACAAATATAAAGTATCTTTCCTTATCTCTCTTTAAGGAAAGTCACTTTTTAAAAAAATTCTGCCTATCCTGATAGTTACCTTGTATTCTGCCTGTACAGCATTTGCTGGTGGTCTACGGATGCCTGGCTAGTCATACCCTCCTGTTTATTGCACTAAATAGTTCATTTAGTTGTTGTTTTGCACTGAATAGTACGTTTGTATCCTCATGGGATTCCTCTCTCATATCACATGGTCTTCCCCTCTCCCCTAAGCCCCAGTGGTGGTGGTTTCTCCCTGGTCTACCCCTCCCCTGGCCCCTCTCCTCACTTGCATCCCATTGGCTGTAGCCCCTCTCCTCTGTCCCCCTTCCCCTGGGCTTAAACTCTCCCAGGAGGAAACCTCTGACCTCTCTTTGCCTCCCTTGGGCTTCCCTAGAGTGGTTCCACAATAAAGTGGGATGATCGTCCCGAGAGGAAAGAGCACCTGTAGCCTTTTACTTTTGTCCTTGCAACACTGCGAGGGGCCAGGGTCCAGAGCTAGCCAGATTGGATCCAAACAGTCCCAGAGATCAGTCTTACACCCTGCTGACTCTTCCTTAACAGTTGCTAAGTAACATTCAAAGACTCAGGGACCACTATATGTACTCTCCCAACATCATTTCTGCGTGTTCATAATCACCTTAGCTACACAGCTGATTGTATTTTACTGCCAACACCAAAGGACTGGAGGAATTGGCTTTCTGTACATGAGGTTTGAAAGATACTTCCTTGCATTAAGATGAGGTCCATGCTACAGAAATGCTTGAGAACCTTTAATCCTTGACTTCTCAGTGTTAGCATCCATCCCAGTGATTCACAGCCTCATTTTGTGAAACCTTGTTATTTCTTCCAGTTCCTTAACAATTCCTCTTTTCCCTGCTGCCTTCAAATGGCAATCACTACCTACTTCATTCAGTCCTTCACCCATCTGTAGGACAGCATAATGAACAAACAAACAAAAAAATGCAAATATGCAGACCAAAAAAAAAAAAAAAAAAAAAAAAAAGAGCCCATCAGTGAATATAAAGTTGATTCTAGCATTTCTGGGAAGGGACTCAGAAAAGTTATCTTAGCTAATTTTGCAACTGTGCCAGACATGGGTCCCAGACAGTACTTACAGAAATGCTTCCATCTGCGTGGCTGCTGTGGCATTAGGCAGCACTGTCAGCCTGGAAAGGTGCCTTTTTTCCATTTTTATCTGTGCTTTCCTAAGAACATAATTAAAGACATTACTGGGCCATGCTTTGAAAAAACGTAACTTAGCTCTTCCCTAGCCTCTGACTGAGGATGTGTGCAAAAACACTTCCCCTCGAGTTTCTTTCTCTCTCATCATGCCTGCACCACCCCTGTATGCCTTTCCAACACTTTTTGGCCGGAGCGGGTTTTGGAAAGGCGGCTTCCCCAGCGGCCACACCCTGCGATAGCGATGCCTGGAGCACCTGGAGCTCCCCGTCCCCTCACGGCCCTGCTGCATGCATCCTGCGGGGGAAAACGACCTCGGCAGAGGCGGCCCTCCCGGGCCAGAGCTGCCCGGGGCGGGGACAGCATCCCATCCCATCCCATCCCATCCCATCCCATCCCGGCCGCAGGCAGCGCGGTCAGGCTTCCCGCACACCCACGAAGCGATTGGGACCGAGTTGTAAATTCGGTGGGGAAGGGGGGTTTCGCCATTTTGCCCCTGCGCTCCCTCCGGCAGTGAACAAAGGGCTGGAACAGGGTCCTCCGCCCCGGGCATCCATCGCCTCGCCCCCACCCGCCTGTGGCGAGCGCGTCCCGCCGCCTCTGTCCCCTCCCCGGCTTCGCTCTCACCGCCCGCCGCCGCCAGAGCGGGACGTTCCTGGTTGGGGCGCCCGGGACCCCCGTCAGCCGCCGTGGCCTCCCCCGCCATGGGCACGGCCCCAGCCCCGTGCCTGCCCCTCCCGCCGTCCCGTCCCGTCCCGTCCCGTCCCGTCCCGTCCCGCCCCGCCGCCTCAGCCCGCCGCGCCCCCTCCCCGCCCGCCATGTTCTCCGTGACCGCGCCGGGGCGGTCCCCGCATTTCCCGGGAACTCGGTTAAAACGGAGGGGAAAAGTACTTTTCATGGATAAAGTCAAGTCATTCGCCCCGGCTCGTAGTGCCAGGCAGCCGTAGAGCCTAAGTGCTAGACTTCCTAGACCCCAAAACGCTATTAAAATTAACACAAATAAGATTTGGGGAAAAGTTTTTCCCACACACACAGCTGAAGCAAGACATCGGATATAGTGTCAGTATAAAGGGTGAACAAAAATTAAATGCTGTGCTTGTGCCTCCCTAGTTCCTGCCTTTCCCTGGCAATGCCCTTGAGCACAGAGGGTGACTGCCCTGAGGTGAGCTGTGCTATATTTTGATTGCTCTGTGGAGTTTTTAATGCTGTGGACATCAGTTTCCTGTGGCTGCTGCCTCAGTTTGCTCCAATGCTCCAACAGCAGGAGCTGGACTGTGTGTCTTGTTCCTGTGCCAGGGGAAGTCCACAGGGAGTTAGTCTGCCCTTTTGATGACGCAGAAAGGCAAGACAAGCATCCACCCATCAGTGCTGGAATACTAAGCTGATGCATCATTTTCAACCAGTTCTACTCATACTTTTCTACAGGACTTTTTTAAGCTTACCACACCATTGCACTTTGACATTTTAAAAAGACCATTTTTGGACAGCATTCAAAAATGTATGGAACAAGAGATTACACAATGAGCAAAAACTGATGCACAGTAGTTCCACTTGAATGTGAGGAAGAACTTATTTCCTATGCAAGTGACTGTGCACGGGTTGCCTAGAGAGGTTGTGGAGTTTCCCTCACTGAAGATATTCCAGACCTGTCTAGGCACCATCCTATGCCATGTGCTCTGGGATGACCCTGCTTGAACAGGGAAGTTGGACCAGATGATCCACTTTGCCCCATCCTAACCTTGCCCAGATGTGATTCTGTGTGCACACACGTGTGTACTAACACAGTACAGAGCACCTGTGTGATGGAGCCAGGTAATGCTTGCTGCAACTGTGAGTGAGGCCATGGAGATGGTCCAGGGCCACCAGAGGCTTCAGAGCTCCCCAAAACTGCTCCTACCCAGCTGTCCCACTGCTCTTGGTGAAGTACCCATGGGGAAGTAGCTGAAGGCACAAGCACTTGTGGGGCACACCAACATTCTCTGCTGGCTTCTGCAGCCGAGCTTCACTGAAACGGGGGCTTGGGTGAGCTTGCTGGCTCTTCATCCTGGGCAGCGGAGATTAGAGAGCCCACTCTCCCCACGGTGGCTCCAGAAGCACAGAGAAGTGCGGACGCCCCTTCCTTACCCACCTGCCCCCCATTATCACCTCACAGAATCACAGACTGGGTAGGTTGGAAAGGGCCACAATGGGTCATCTGGTCTGGCTGCTCTGCTCAAGCAGGGTCATCCCACAGCACATGGCACAGGGTTGTGTCCAGACAGGTCTGGAATATCACCAGTGGTGGAGGCATCACAACCTCTCTGGGCAACCTGTTCCAGTGCTTGGTCACTGCACAGTAAAGAAATGCTTCCTCATGTCCAGGTGGAACTTCTGTGCATCAGTTTCTGCCCGTTGCCTCTTGTCCCATTGCTTGGCACCACCGAGAGGAGCCTGGATCCATACTCTTGGAATCCCCTCTTTAGATATTTGTACACATTGATGAGGGCCCCTCTCAGCCACCTCTTCTCGAGGCTGAACAGGCCCAGCTTCCTCAGCCCTTCCACCTAACGAAGATCAGTCAATCATTTTCGCTGCCCTCCGCTGGACCCGCTCCAGGAGCTCTATGTCTCTCCTGTCCTGGACAGAACACTCCAGATGTGGGCTCACTAGAGCTGAGCAGAAGGGCAGGACCCTCTGCCTCTCCCTGCTGGCAACGCTCTTCCTGATGCATCCCAGGATTCCGCCGCCGCCGGGGCTCCGCGCCGCGCGGCCCTGGAAGCGGAAACGCTACGAGGCGGCGGTTCCGGGAGCGCCGGCGCTGCCGAGGGTACTGTGCGGGAGGAGACGGGAGGAGAGGGGCTCCGCCGCCTCCGCCCCTTTCGCCGCCTCCTGCCTTCTGCTCGGCGGAGAGGAGGCCGCCATGCACCCCGTTTTCCAGAGCAGCCGGCGCGACTTCACCTTCGGGCCGTGGAAGCTGAGCGCCGCCCGGACGCACATCATGAAGTCGGCGCAGGCCGAGAGGTGGGGCGGGCTCTGGGCCGGGGGTGCGGGGCGCTCGGCGCAGCGCGGTGTCCCCGCTCTTCGGGGAGCCGCCGCGGCCTCGGCCGTCACAGCGAGGGGCTGGGGGCGTCGGGCGGCCTTGCCAAGGAAACACACAGCGTTCCCAGGGCGGGGGAGACCCTCTTCGGCTCCCGGGGTTGTTCCTTCTCTTCAAGCTTGATTCTCTGGCTGGAGAGTTCGGGCGATTTGGGTTACAGGTAATTTCCAAAATTTTGTTTTAATGATTGCATGGATGCCCCATCCCTGGAGATATCCCAGGCCAGGTTGGATGGAGCTTTGAGCAACCTGGTCTGGTGGAGATGTCCTTTCCCGTGGCAGAGAGGTTGGAACTTCACCTTTAGGTTTCTTCCAACTCCGACCGTTTTGATTGTATGATTATAATGGTTTTGGATCTCTGTGAACTGAGACCTGCTAATTAGAAGCCTGATTTTTTAAATTACTTTTGAAAAAGAATGTTTTTAACATCTCATACCGTGTCTTGGTAATACATGTTTTAAGATAGTGGTTTTCATGTACTTTCATTTATCTTGCTTTTACCTTTTCTTAGGCTAATAAGGCATCCTCTGGGAGGAACTGGCTGCTTATGGCTGGGATGGGTGCACTGTTTGCTGGGTAAAACATTGTCTGGATGGCTGAGTTCAGAGAGTGATAGGGAATGGAGTTACAGCCTACTGGTGGCTCATCAACAGTGGTGTTGCCCAGAGCTCAGTGTTGGGGCCAGTCCTGTTCAATATCTTTATTGAAGATGACCCCAAGCTAGGTGGAAGTGTTGATTGACTGGAGGGTAGGAAGGCTCAGCAGAGGGATCTGGATAGGCTGGATAATGAGCTGAGGCCAGTTGTAGGAGGTGCAACAAGGTCATAGCGACCCACTTTGTCTTTTTTATTACTTGGGGAACATTATTAGTATCTATAGGAATTTGCAGGTCAAGGGTTCCTACACTCGACAAAATGGAAAAGTTCATAATGTTATTCTGCCTTCTTTGGGAAAAAACATAGGATCTTATTTTCCAGGTCTGTGAATTTACTGTTTTTATTTTAGTTAGGTTAACACTGTTCTTTTGTATTCAGGGTTACAGAAATAACCACTTTTGTTCAGGAATGTCTTGTTACCAATGTGAACATTATGATTAGGACACTCTTCTCCCTCCCCTCACTCAAATAGGTGTATTTCCTAAAGCTTTCTTCTCTCCAGATGTCACATATTCCTTGTTGATCTTGGGAAGTCGGGTAGGTGAGGAGGAAAAGTTTAGGAGGCGTGCCAGTATGTGTCTTCTACCAGCAGAATACAGTAGTGTCTTCTGCACTTTTTACATACTCTGCCAGGATTGTCTTAAACATCTTTTTTGTAGGCTTCTAAATTTGGAGGTATGGACCATTGTGCAGTGAATTCAAGCTTGCTTATGATGAGTCCTTGTTCCTAAAAGTTACTTTGAGCACCTGCTGAAGTTGGTCCACTGACCATCCAGGGATTTGCTAGCACAGATGGAAATTCTCAGATACTCTTGATTCCTCATGTGTGAGAATTTTGTCTGAGCCTGATGGCGAAGGAATGTTTTAGGAGTACTTTTTTTGGTGGAAAAGTCACTTCAGATCAATGAGTCTGCATTTCAGGTGAAATTATTAACCTGGTGATGTGTCTTCTAAGTTATCATGGTCTAAGGAATGCCAGTTCCAAAACAAGGACTGCTTTCACTGAGCTGTGATCAGCTGACTGATGCCTCTTATTTTTCTCTGCAGGTTGGCTGATGAATTACACATGCCTTCCCTGCCGGAGATGATGTTTGGAGACAATGTCCTAAGAATACAGCATGACCATGGTTTTGGAATTGAGTTCAATGCTACAGATGCTTTAAAATGTGTCAATAATTGTCAAGGTATGATCAAAGTCGCTTGTGCAGAGGAGTGGCAAGAGAGCAGGTACAGTATTTTATCACCACTGGGCAAGTACTGGTGTGTTGTCTATGAAACTGTCACACAGTAGTTAAAGGAACAAACTGAACTCTTGAGGACCACATTGCCTTTGGTTCTACTCTAGATGGAGCATGTGATCACAGAGATCACTTTGCTTTTCTTTGCTGTCATAATCCTTTCTGTCAAATTGGATCAGCTGTATTTTTCAGCTGTGTAATGGCTTTCTTAAAGTAAATGTCAAGTTTAACATGAATTAATGCTGTTTCTGTTTATTCAAACTCAGAAAGCCTTGAGCATTACAAGACTGTATTCTGTGGTGTTCCAAAGTGCTGTACATGTTCAAAATCTCAGCCTTAGGAATAAAGCAGAACAGTTACCATGCATGAGAACTAATTATGATGCTTAGTATTTATCAAATTGGATTTAGTTGTAGAGCATCTGGAAATAAAGCACAGAAACAAATCAAAGTTATCATGAAAACTAAGCTAAATGGCAGTGTTAATGATTGATGTGTGTTGTCAAGAGATCACTTTCTGCCTGCTTAAAGAAAGATTCATCTTGAAATACAAATTTTTCAGCAATATTGCATGAGAATCTTTATTATGAGTCATAGAACTGAGATAGATCAAGAATTCTCATAATTGTTTTCAAAATTATTATGGAAACATATGTGAAACCATGATTAAGTCTTGACATTGTGATTGCAGCTCAGACAATGCTGCTGTTTTCCATTAGGAACAGTGTCAGAATTCTAATGCACAGTCTTATTCGAGGTTGTAATTTTTTGACAATTGCTATAAAGCAATTACTACAAAGCTGTTTTCTCTTTCACTGTTGAGGAGTGAGACGGAGCACAGTAAGGAAATTGTCAAGCCATATGACTGGACTTACACAACAGATTACAAAGGAACTTTGCTAGGAGATACTGCAACATTAAAGGTAAAAATTTTCTTTTTCTTAATTGCTGACTGCATCTTGCTTCAGTCAAACTTTTTTTAAAGCTGTCATTTACATTTCAGTAGGCTTCTTTAAAATCTTTCGTGCTTTGTAATTTCTGATTTCAAAGTGTAATTTGGGCTTCTCATGTCTCTCAGCTCATTTTATCCTAATCAAATCATGGCTTATTTTAATAATGAGGGTGGGTGGTGTCTTAAAGCATTTTAGAATTAAAGCACACGGGAGGCTTCAGTTCTTGCTGGGGGCTGCTCTGGAGCCTCAAGCTGCTCACATATAGCAGAACTACCAGCTGTGTCATTCTGTAGTGCCTTCATGCTCTGCTGCTTGCATGTTTGTCTGATTTATGACCTGGCTGCTTTCAATGGCCTGATGTTTTTCTGCATCAGCAGCTCAGTAACTCCTCATATTTAAACTCACAGGCACTCCCATGTCTTTATTTTTGTGAAAATAAGACTGAAGTTCTCAGCTTCTGTTTACTGCATACTGGTTGCTTGCTGCTAAGCAGATAATCTGTATTAATTCACTAGAATTGCTTTAGTTGGAGATCATTTGAGTTGTGCTGGAATTAAAAGTACAGCATAGAAATGAACAATGTTGGTCCATAGTATTTGGACACCTGAAGTGTCTATGGAGACCATGAGATGGAAAACATACAGGTACTTGATTTCCGTGGAAAAGCTTTATTAGAATCCTTTTCAAGGTGTCGTGGGCTAGGGGTGCTAAAGGCACAGAAATCTGTTTATAAACCTGAACTTCTCATATGTATGTTGAACACAAGACATCTTCAAATGTTTTTAAAGAAAGCAGAATTGTTTGCAGCCGAAACCTTACTGAGCCTGGTACCCAGAGAGAAGTTTAGTCAGAATTTTCCAGAAGAAACTCTTGGAAACTTTGATTTTAACTTTTTCTCTTAGAAATTTGGGGTGTCTTAAGCTTAGTGCCCTAGAAGTTTTTATCTTTTTAAAACTCTGGAATTCAAAATATCAGAACAAACTTTATGTAGTTTGGCAAAAAGTTAATATGCTAACTGCTCTTAATATTTTTCTCTAGGTTGTTCCTACAACAGAACACATAAATACAGAGAAATTGAAAGCCAGGGAACAAATTATGTTTTTTGAAGAAGTGCTCCTGTTTGAAGATGAACTCCATGATCATGGAGTATCAAGTTTGAGTGTGAAAGTAGTGAGTATTGGGAGGTGTATAAAAGATACCTGGGGACTCGGCTGATTAATGCAAAACACAGCTGCTTTTTGCATGTTGTTCCTTCTGGGATTTAAACTTTAAAGCACAAAGTTCTTCATCCTTACTCTTAGAAAAATGATCTTACTGGAGATGATGTTGTCTTGAAACCTTTGTCATCTGTCGTGTGGTCCAGGGGACAATCTTTTCCCTCCTGTGTCCTGCCTAATAGTCCTTTGGGACACTGTCTGCACCGCTGGCCAGTCATAGCTGTAGCAAATCAACCGCCCAAACTTTGACCTCATTCTTGAAAACTTCTCATATTGTCTTGCGTTGGAAATGTCTGATGTAGACGAGTACATGCCTAAAGTAAGCCTTTGTAAGGTGCTGAATGGGCCATTTTATTTTTGCAGAGAGTTATGCCTTCCAGCTTTTTTGTGCTGCTGAGGTTCTTCTTGCGAGTGGATGGGGTGCTCATCAGGATGAATGATACAAGGCTTCATCACGAGGTAAACCCTTACTTTCTGTGACGAATTACTTTACAGAGGTTCCCTTGCCATTTTACTTCCAGTGACCCAGTGATATTCCTCTAATTTAATACTGATGTTTGGGAGCACAAAAACTTCTGAGTGTATTTTATTATTGTGGTGGTGCTGAGCTAGCAACCGAGTGCTGGATGCCGTGTGTATGAGCAGAGTAGGCTACCCCTCATGTGATGTAATCATTTAAATACATTCGACAGACACAGATTAGAGAAGGAAGTACAAGAGGAAAAATAGGCAGCAGTAAAGGGTTCAATACTGTCTTGTCTCCAAGTACATTATTTTTGTCTTACCTAATAGAGTTAGACTGCAAGTGTAACTTGCAAATAACTGTCCATAGTACATTGAGTTCTGGTGTCTCACAAATAATACAGGATGTTAAGATTTGGGGTTTGGTATTTCTGTGTAGATGTGTAGGAGTTCTAGCTGAGTAAAAATTAACAAGCATATTCAGTCATAGAATTTTTCCTGAAACATGTGGTTTCTGGAAAAAAACGACATTGTTGTCATCTGTCTTTATGAATTTGAATGTACATTTCTTCTCCTAGGTGAAAATTTGTGGTCAACCAAATTCCAATGCTTCCTAAATTAAATGTATTTAAAATGCTTGTTTTACTGATACCAGATGATTGGTTTTTTCCATTAGGCTGACAAGACTTACATGTTGCGAGAATACACATCCAGGGAAAGCAAAATATCAAGTCTAAAGGTATTGCATTTTTAAAACTTTGGTTCTTTTCCTTCTGTCTGCTTTTTAGTTTTATGGTCAGCATAGAAAATACTGTCTCTAAGTCCTTCTTTGTTTGGTTTGGAATTAATACAGAAGAAAGTTCTTTCTGCTTTTGCAGCTTTTGTTTTGGTGATTTTAGAGCAGATTTACATTTTGTAAATGCTCAGATCACATGACAGGGTATGCGATTAGGACACTTTTCCTACTATTGAGATAATAAAATGTTTTTATTATTTTGTTTTTTCATAGAACTGTTTAGCTGCAAAATCAGGTACTCCATGTCCCATGATGTTAAATTTCATGGCTGATTGTGTGCTTCCAAGCCGTGTTAGGGGTTAAGATCTGTTTGGTAATAGACTTTTTCATTTTTTTCTTAAATATTTGAGGTTAAACTCTGGTAGTGGCTCAGAATAATTTATGGTACATTTGGAGTTGCAGCTGTGGTTGTTATTCATGACAAACGCCTGAACTTTCATTTTCTTGTACCTTTCCTCCTCCCTTACTTTTCGTTTGCCTCTAAAAAGTTTGCCTTTAGTGGTGTTTACATCCAGTATGTTATAAATTGTCTGTAATAGTTTGGGGTTGGATACTTTTTCTTATTCCCTCTTTTCTTTCACTCATTTAATGTAAAATTTTTGCTTTTTAGAACGTTCCACCTTCCCTGTTCACGGAACCTAATGAGATCTCTCAGTATCTACCCATAAAGGAAACAATCTGTGAAAAACTAGAATTCCCAGAGAAGCTGGAGCCTAAACCGGAAACATCACTGGAAACCACATGTGCTAAGTCTAAATAAATGTGATTTTATAAGGACTTGAAGTATAGTGGAGATTATGTGATCGCAGTTGTTGATACGGGGGGTGTTTCACTACTGGTGGAATGAAGAATTTGGCTAATTTTTGTGTAGCCTTTAGAGGAAACATTTCAAGGTTTTGCTAATGGTGTTTTTTGTTTGGATTTTTTTTAATCTGTGTTTGGAGTTGATGATAGACTGATGGTGAGTTACAGTTTTCAACAGCATTGGAGAAATGACTATTGGGAATCTAGGTTCTGTTTAGTTCACCAAGCAGGCAGGAGTATTGTCTGGACCCCCATCCACTAACAATTCTATGAAGATTTTGTCGTTGCTGCTTCAGATACTATGAAACTACCTGAGTTGTAAAACTGGCATGATTTTATTTATTTTGATCTGTCCATCCTTAATTACCCATTTTGCTTGGCTTCCCCTACTGGTAAACAACAAAGTTACTTCTTGTAGTTTCTGATCCAGAGTCTCACCTAAGAATATTAATTTCATCTGAGATAGGTTTAAGTGCAGGGAAAAAAAAGTATATTTGTTTGACACTATATAAAGGTAAAAATTATTTGTGAAGCATTAACGCCAGAGCAGGAGGAGAGCTGGAGGTTAACAGAGAGACAGTGCTAAGTCTCTTCACAAATGCTGGTTTAATGTGGTGTCAGCTGGAGTTCTGTGGGCAGTTTTGGGACTCTCACTTGAGGTCCCTGTGCTGCTCTGGTAATGTGCGGTGCTGGAAAGGTATTGCCCTGCACTGGCCTTCTCTTGTATGTGCCCACATGGGCCGGTTCTACTGCCCTGACAGCCAAGTTGCAAAACTGCAGTGGGGCTTAAGGCTGGGCAAGTCTGATCCCTAAAGGGTGCTGGTATTTGCAGTTTGAGAAATGAGATCCTGTGTGGCCTTAGAAGGATGCTAACACGTTTTCCACATACATAATTTTGGTTTATTTTAAAATTCTTCTAAGTTCTAGTATTGATAGAAGTGTGATCACTTGTATAGTCATGGTTGCAACACTCTGTAGATGAAACTGAGTACTTGTATTGCTTTTGGAAATTCTGCAATATATTACTGGTTTGGCTTAAGAATGGGGCAGGCAAGCAGGCTTGCCTGGGTTTGCTGCTGACACTCAGTGCAGAAAGCAAGTAACTGCAGTGAAAAGCAGGCCCTGTGGTGCAAGGTGCTTGCAGGTAAGAACATGGACATTCTGATGTCTTGGGGTTTTTGTTTAAAAATCTTCATATTCTACACCACATGGCTTACTAGAAGCAACCCACCACAAAACCTAGTATTTAATAATATATTTTGTGAGGTGGTTTTCATGTAGAGAAGATCTTGAGGTTTTTTATTGGGGCAAAAAAGTGTAATGCCATGTAAGTGACTGTCTCCTTATTAAAAACAACACACTGATTTCACTTTTATTTGAGACAGCCTGGTCTAGTGAATTCTACAGCAGGTGGAAAGGCAGGAACTAACAGCAGTTTTTCCTGTGTCATTGATTTACTCTGACCATGGGGAAGACATTTTTCTGTGCTTCCATTCCCTGTATATAAAAATGAGAGTTAATATATGCCTACCTCACAGAGAGACTGTGAGGATTAGTTTGTACAAAGTTATTGGTTAGAATATTTTTTTCTGAATACACCTTCAGCCTTATCTTTGGAATTCTTTGGAAACGATTAGTGCAAAAAAATTATGTATAAGATAAGTGAAGAGAACTGAAACAGTTTCTGAAAGAAGTTGTCAGCTGTGATAATTACCAGATAATTATCAGACATGATCTGGGTGAATGAATTTATGGCCACTTTGAAATAGAAGCAAGGTCCTCTATGTTCCCCGTTACAGTCCTAAGTTCTCTTGGCTTTTTTTCATCTTCCTGCCCTTGTTTCCTAAACATTTCAGTGTCAGGATGAAGAAAGGGACTATAAATTAATGCAGCACCAAAGAGATTAAAATCCATTTAGTAATAGAAGATTATTTGGGTCCACTCCATTAATAGAGTGAAGTGAGGAAAGAGTGAAAATGAAGGGAATGAGAAATGGGGGTGAAGAGTTATTTTTCTGGTAGAAGTAAATCATGGCACTTACTCTAAGCATTTATTAGTATACATGCCTTAGAGCTTATAAAAGCACTCTTACAGCTGGGAGCAGAGCTCATGTAGTGCTGGCATGAAGGAAACTATATCTGCATTTGTTAATTCAAATTGTGATTTGAGCTTGGTCAGTGATGCTAACATTAAACTCGTTTGGTCTGAAACAGAGTGTGGGGCAAAGCCACAGAGCGGGGAGGGAGCAGTGGAAAGGGCACTCTGCATGTTTAGCTTATACTGTGTGTTTTCTCTTGTCCGTCATACATCCTAGTTTGTGACCCATTGGTAAAGTGTCACGGAATTGACTTGTATCCTGTCTATAGATGCGTGCTCTCCATCTATTCTAAAGAGTGCTTTGCATTTCAGTGAGACACGTGTTTGGGAAATCACAAGAACACCTTTAGGAAGTTACAGTTACAAGTTCAAAATTAGAGCACTTTGTGACTATCTTACACCAGGCAGATTATCAAGAAGCAGTGGTATAAACTGGCGTACAGCAAGTGCTCTGACACAAATTTTCCACAGAGAAGTAACACTTTGAATAAATAACTTTGCGGGGGAGGGAGTGGGGTGATTCTCCAGCTGTTTTGTGTCGAGTTTTTTGTGGCAGTTTATATTGTTCCTTGTATGTTGCTAAATAAAATGTACCAAACGTTTTACAATTCTGTTTTTAACTGAGCAAAATAAACTGAAATAACTACTTGTGATGCTGAATTTTGGCTGCTAGTAGGACTTTGCATCCACATACCTTTGTCTGGCAGGAGACTGCTAGGCTCGTTACGAAAATAAAGTAGCAGGAGAAGAGCCACAGCCGTGGGATTAAAATGAAACCTCACTGACTATAAAATGAGTTTTGCTGCTACCAAGCGATGGACTGGAAAGTGCTGGGAGGAGATAGGATCCATCACATCTGGACTACATTCCCCGGCAGCCTTCGCGCCGCCCCGCCGGCCTTCCCCTACCTGCGGCGCGCACGTGGGCGCGGTGCCTGCCGGGGCTGGTAGTCCCTGGAGAGGGAAGGGCAGGGCAGGGCAAGGCATTCCGGCCGGCCGGGCGGGCGGAGTGCGGAGCCATGGACAAGCTGAAGCGGGTGCTGAGCGGCCGCGACGCGGAGGAGCCGAGCGGCCTGGCCGAGGTAGCGCTGCGGCCGCCGCCCCGCTGCCGGGCGGGGGAGCCGGCGCCGCCCGTCCCCGCTGTGCTCGGCGCGGCGGCGGAGCGCCCGTGAGGAGCTGCCGGCGGCACCCGCCAGCGCCGCCCCCGCGGGTCCCGGTGCCGCGGCCTTCCCGCGGGACACTCGGGACAGTGCCCGAGCAGGACACGGCGCCGCAGCGCCTGAGGAAGTTCTCGCGCTCGGTAGAAGGCAAGAGCTAGAAGTAAAGAAGTTTCGCTTTTGTTTTTCTCCTCGTTTCCAGGTTATCGATGCGACTTCCTTAGGCTGGGGCACCCGAGTGAAAGGTTTCATTGCCTGTTTTGCGGTCGGATGCCTGTGCTCGATCTTGGTAAGGACTTTTTGCCAGATCTCCCCAGTGTCTGAGTTTCAGGAGCCCAGATAATGCCAGCCTCCCTCCGTGCTGCTGCTTGATTTTCCCGAGTCTCTGTGGAGACCTTTGACTCGGTTCCAGTCAGATGCAATACCCCGACTCTTAACAAGAATGCCAATAAACGCGATTTACTTTCGTATGCATAATTCTGCAGTTTGGCTCGAAGTTTTCTTAAGATTTCTTTCGTGACGTGACACTTCTTGGATATATATGTTTGTTTCAATTTAAAACCTGTTCATTTCCCCCTCCCCCTTTCTCTAAATGTTCCTTTTTAGGGTAGTTGTCTGCTATGGATACCAAAGAAAGGGCTGGTTCTCTTCGCAGTGTTTTATACCCTGGGGAATATTGCATCCATTGGGAGGTAACAATCTTTATATATAATTTCCCTAATACAGATGAGAAACAAAAACACAATGATAGTGCATGAGTGGTAGAAGTTGTTGCATTTGCGAGAGAAGATTTGCTTTTGTAGATAATTTTCTCATTGAATTCTACAGAACAGCATTTCCGCAGTAGTGCCCTGAAATGGTAAAGAAAATTTTAATTTTGTTTGTTGTTATTAGTAATGCATTCAAGGTAAAAGTTGCTCATCAGTAAACAGGAATCATACTCATGCTGTAAGCATTGAGGTTTTTTGATTGTGTTGGTTCCTCCTCCCCTAGATAAAAATAATTCTTTGCCATTTTGCATTTGGCAGTGTTCTGTGTGTTTTGGTGAATATGTTTGGGGCAGTCCATCTGTCAGGGCAAGCATATGTAGTAAGACTTCCTGGCCTTCGAGGTTCCAGAAGCAAAGCCCTCCATACTCTGTGACAGGCCCAGTTTTCTGTGATTGTGGAAGCTTAGCGTGATGCAGGAAAGCATAAATAATGGAATTGGAAGTAATACGCTAATGAGGCAGAATAATATAGTATGTGAGGCAGAAATATCTTCAGATAAAACTTTCACCTTGTGTAATTCATCCAATATCTGTCACCAGGGCCCTAAATGAGACTGCAGATCTGGTAAGGGATCAGAGAACAGATGCAGGCATGAAAACAGCCTTTTATGTAGAGGAATTGAGTTGGATTACCTGGCAGTCCATGCAGAGCCTCTGTGGATGGTGTTCTTGAAAAGATTTCAAAAGCATTTTTTGAAAAGCAGGTTAGAAAACATCTGTCAAGGATGATCTGATTGGAGCTGACCTTGGCCTGTGCATCTAACCTGATAGTTCTGTTCCTGTTAATTTTAATGGAACAAGTGTGAATAAAATTGTAAATACCTTGCACACAGAAAAGGGGGAATGGATTTTGTCTCGTTGTATAATCCCATTTCTTTTGTTTTGCTGCACTGATTGCCATAACAACACAGTGTACTGATGCCCCTGTGGCAGCAGAATGTTTAATCTTAC